CTGTCCCGCCTTCGCGAGTGTCCGGGCCGCTCCCGAATCGTGCTGGCACTCGGGGCCACGCAGATGGCGCTCGGATGCCTCATCGTGGCGGTGAGCTTCGCGGCGCTGGCGCTCACCACCTCGGCCCGTGTCCGCCACTCCTGCCCTTTCTGGGCCGGCTTCTCGGTGAGTGGTTCTGGGCAGCGCGGGCAGGCTCCAGCAGGCAAGGGGCTGCGGCCAAGTTTGGGCGGGAGCGTGGAGGGGCCAAGCGCAAAGCGGGTGCATTTCCAAACTCCGGACAGTCAACTCTAGGTAGCTAGCATAGCCGTTCCCGCAGCGTTGCTCTCCCTTTCCCTGTGTAGTGATCCCGGAGTTACTTTTCTTAGAGGACACAGCCACCAGCGCCCGCCGTCGCCGAGCCTCAGCGGCGGGAGCAACCAAGTGCGGAGTGAGAACGGGCAGTGGAGCTCCAGGGCTTCGCGGGCGAAGGCCTGGGGTCCGGAGTCTCGGTTCCCGGGCTCGGTGCGGCTCTAAGCCAGCCGGCCGCCCTCGTCCGAGGCGGGGAAGTGGGGTGTGAACGCGGATTGTAGCCCCAGGTGTGGGAGCCGCGTCTTAGGTTGCTTGTCGCCCTCGCAGCGGCCCTGGCTGGGGGCGGGGGCGCGTCCCAAGCAGTTACTGACGAGTTCGGCAGAGGACATCAGCTGGCCCTCCCGTGGCCACTCGCTGACTTGGTGTGGGGAACTTGGCGTTTCCCACTGTCGGCCCGGAACGGCGTGCTCTGTGGGCTGGGGGACAGGGCTGGCGACCTGAGTCTGGCATCGAGGGGGCGTATTCTCTTAGCTCTAGACCACGAGGATGACCGATTTTCAGACCCTTCGCCCCCAATTTAGAGAAGCAATGAGTAACAAACCTCCACAGGAGAAAGCCACGTATTAAAGCCACTATTAAAGGAAGTGATCGTCCCTAAGAGTTAATTTTTGACGATTTATTGCATTTTACGAAGAGCTGTTTTATTCTGTATTCATAAGAATAGACATATGGAATTGGGAAAATATGTTAGGCAGATATTTAAAAAGAGAAACTTGTTCTGAGAACTCTTGACATCTGTAACTATATTTGATTTATGATGTTGCCATACATTTTATAGACTTAAACTGTAAACTCAGTGTGATTTAATTCTGTCTACAAAAATTTCAATTAAGCCTTTAATATTACTGTTTGGTGTTTGTTATTGATTTTTGAAATGAAAAATTCTGTCCAGTTTTGCTTTTGTGTGTGTATGTGGTGGTCTTTGTTCCCTAAGTCCATCACATGGTTTTTAAAAGAAGATTTGAGCAAAACTAAGTCTAGAATACACTGATCGTTACAGGTGTGATCACTGATCTTAATAGGAGTATTCATTTTCAAAGCTTATTTCAGAGCAAAGGTGAGCTTTGGAGAGCTGGTTAGGAGCAACAGAATGTGTGCTCAGTGTTCAAAAAAAAGGGTGGAGGATCCAGGCAGGAACTATATTTAGTCTTCACACATCTGGTGCTCAATTTTTAGCGTTATTTAATATGCATTGTTTTCATGTCGTCTGTCTCCTGAGCACAGAGGTTTATGCTGGAACCAGCTAACAGGTGGCAGACTGGTACATAAGCTTCACTGCCTGACCCTTCTCTGTTTCCTTCCTTCCTTCCTTCCATTTAGTCTTGGCTGTGGCATTGGTAAGGAGCCCTGGTGGCTCAGTGGTTTTGTGCTTGGCTGCTAGCTGAAAAGTTGGTTCAGATCCTTCCAGTGGTTTCATGGGAGAAAGACCTGGCAATCTGTTCTCATAAAGATTTCAGTCTATAAAACCCTATGGGGTTGTTCTGCTCTGTCACGTGGGCTCACTGTGAGTGGAAGTCAACTGGATGGCACCTAATAACAACAACATGGCATTGGTAGAAACCCTGGTGGCACAGTGGTAAAAACATTTGGCTGCCAAGTAAAAGGTCAGTGCTTCGAACCTACCAGCTGCTCCATGGGGAAAAGATATGGCACTCTGTCTCCCTAAACATTTACAGCCTTGGAAACCCTATAGGGCAGTTCTCCTCTGTTTGTTAGGGTCATTATGAGTCAGAATTGACTTGATGACATTTTTTTTTTTTTTTAATGACATTGATGGTTGAATCTACCAGCCCCTCTGTGGGAAAAAAGACATGGTGATCTGCTCCCGTAAAGATGAAAGAAAACAAAAAAACAACCAAACTCACTGCTGTTGAGTCGATCCCGACTGATAGTGACCCCTCCTTGGGTTTCCGAGGTAGTATCTCTACAGAAGTAGATTGACCAATCTTCCTTCTGAGGAGTGGCTGATGGGTTTGAACTGCCAGCCTTCTGGTTAACAGTCAAGTGCCTTAGGCACTACGCTACCAGAGCTCCTTGTTGTTGTTGTTGTTGTTATGTGCCATCGAGTCAGACCTGACTCATAGGGACCCCTCCTTGGATTTCCGAGGCAGTATCATTACGGAAGTAGATTGCCCCATCTTCCTTCCGAGGAGTGGCTGATGGGTTTAAACTGCCAGCCTTCTGGTTAGCAGTCAAGTGCCTTAGTCACTATGCTACCAGAGCTCCCCCAGAGCTCCTTAGGCACTAGAAAATCCTAAGGGGCAGTTCTACTCTGTCCTGTTGAGTCCTTATGAGTTTAAATCAGCTTAACACACCACAGCAACAACAGCATGGTGGATGTACAAAGAGAACTACATTTCAATAATAAACAGTAACTGGACATTCGTGACACTTTAGTGGAGAGAGTTAAGTAAATATGTGAAACAGTAATTCAGTTTGGATTTCCAGCTTTATTCTTTTCAATAGCTATAGTCTTTTGGTTCTAACTTCCCATGGTTCAGACTAATTCCGCACATATGGACTGAGCACTTGTTATATGCAGACAGTCTTCTAGGCTCTGGGGAAACAACAATGAACATAATCAATTCTGTTTTCATTTTAGTGATTTTAAGGTAACTTTTAGCCCAGGTTTATCTCCCATCCCTCCAGCCTCCCATTGTTACATCCATTATTCTTGTAAGTTCATTTTCTTTCCTCAAACAGTTTACCATAATCACCTTTAAAATTCTTTCAGTACAGTGTATACCTTTTCTCACTTTCTCACAGTCTTTGCAGAAATGGTGGGTGGTTTCCTTTACGTTGAAACAGATTTGCATGTTAATGTAGCTGAGTGGATAACACTGGCCCCTTGCCATTTGCCTCCCCTCTGGTACTACAGATCTATGAAATCACCTTGCAGTGATGTTCTTTATTTAAGAATGACTAGGGTTGTGTGCAAGAGTCCTGTGGCACAGTGGTTAAGTGCTTAACTGTGAACTGAAAGGTCGACAGTATGAATCTACCAGCCATTCCATGGGAGAAAAAAACCTGGTGATCTGCTCCCATAAGGATTTCATCCTAGGAAACCCTATGGGGGCACTTCTGCTCTGTCCTACAGGGTCGCTATGAGTCAGAATCAGCTATGAGTCAAATGTCACACAACAGCAACAACAACAACAACAGGGTGGTTTGCTTTATACTGAAAATCTGCTTTATAGGGCTTGTTGTTGTTGTTGTTGTTATGTGCCATCGAGTCAACCCCGACTCATAGCGACCCCTCCTTGGGTTTCCGAGGCAGTATCACTACGGAAGTAGGATTGCCCAACCTTCCTTCTGAGGAGTGGCTGGTGGGTTTGAA